TATATATATATATGTATGTATATATATATACAACATTTATATATACTGTTTATGTACTTTGTCTTTTCCATCTTTTACAGTACATTATTCTTTATCATTTTAGTTCAGTATGATATTGGATGATTCTAATACATGAAGTACATGATTTTATATTTTATTGTAATAATAATAAGTTAATTTTTTAACTGCCACTTTTAAAAATTTGTATAATTTTAATAATTGTGAACTGGACTAAATATTATTAACTAGCCTCAACAGGCTCAATAATCACATTATATTTCCATACCAAACCACCCAAAGAAACGTTAATATTTAAAAATAGCTCTTTAAAAATGTTCTTTTATCAAGAAAATAAGCTTCTATTATTCAAAAAAAGTATCTGAAGAAGTTATAACCTTCCCGAAACCTTACGCCTCAGCAACCATAGGTGGGCGTAATGAAGAAAAATTTTAAATTATGGAATAGAATGAAAAAAGACAAACCGTAATATATATTTATTTTCCTTCAAAACGTTTTGTACATTAAAACTAGTAAAATATTTATGTTGTAAGATATGAAAACATTTAGAATAAAAAATTATTGTAATTAATTTCGTTCATTTTAAATCTTATGAAAACTTTAGTTCCACCAAAGTTTTATATATGACTTCGTTGAAAAATGTCGCATGTTTAAATTGTTAGCTCAATCGTATCTAAAAAAAAAAAAAAAAATATTACATTAAAACTTTAAAAATCTAAAAAACACTATAAATATTAAAGTTTCTTGATTTTATTAAAAGCTCTTTAATTTTTTTATTTATATTCTAATTAAATATAAAAATTTATAATAAAGATCTCGCCATCAGAGGAGGGCCCAAGAAACAAAAAACAGCTAACAATATTTGAGATGCATATCTTACTTGAATTACACATCCACCCTATGCAGGGGTCTAAAATATTATATCCCTCGAAGTAATTCTTAACAATATTTCAAACGATTAGTATTTTGTGTTTTAAATATCAGATTCCTCACTTGTAAATTCTGTATGTATCACATAAAGAAACTGAAACTTTTAAATAAAATATCACATCCCCCCCCCCCCTCTATGTATATTTTAAAAATAAGTAATTCTTTACAATACTTCATTAGGTATCAAAAACTAATCAACGATTAGTATTTGATACCTAGAATATCACATTCTCCCTATTTATTCTCTATATATGTAAAAAAAAGAAACTGAAACTCTTACTTAAATTACACATCCACCATATTCAGGCGTCTAAAATATTACATCCCCCAAAGTAATTCATAAAATAACTCAAACAATTAGTATTTGGTAACTAGACTATAACAACCATCACTTGTAACTTCTGTATAAATAACATAAAAAAAACTGAAACTCTTTCTTAAAAAATCACATCCTCACTACGTATACTTCTAAAATATTACATCTCCCAAAGTACTTTATAATATTACAATATTTCATTTGTGAGTTCTGTATGTACCACAAAAAGAAACTTAAATTCTTATAAAATCACATCCCCTCCATGTTTATCTTTAAAATATGACATCCCCCTAAGGATTTCATACAATATTTCAAACTATTAGTATTTGGTATCTAGAATATCACTTATCCTCGGTTTATTCTCTGTATATGTCACAAAAAGATAAAATATTTTAAACAATTAGTATTTGGTACCTAGGATATCACATCCATCACATGTAAGTTCTGTATGTATCACATAAAGAAACTAAAATTCTTTCTTAAAATATCACATCCCCCTTATGCATGCTTCTAAAATATTACATCCTCCTAAGTATTTCTTTTCAATATTTTAAAAAATTAGTATTTGGTGTTTAAAAATCACATTTCCCCTGTGGAGACTCTGCATAAGTCACAAAAAAAAACTGAAGTTATTATTTAGAATATCACATCTCCTCTATGTTTACCTTTAAAACATTAAATCCCGTAAGTAAGTTACAAAATATTTTAAACAATTAGTATTTAGTACCTAGAACATCACATCAATAACTTGTAAGTTCTGTATGTACCACAAAAAGAAACTTTAATTCCTACATAAAATATTACATTCCTTCTATGTTTACCTTTAAAAAATGACATCTCCCTAATAATAATAACAATATTTAAAACAAATAATATTTGGTATTTAAAATATCACATTCCCGCTATGTTTACTTTTAAAATACTACATCCCCCTAAGTAATTCATACAATATTTCAAATGACTAGTATTTGATATATAGAATATCACATCCCTTTGAATTATTCACTGTATATGTCACAAAAAGAAACTGAAATTCTTCGTTAAAATATCACATACCCCTTATGTATACTTTTAAAATATTACATCCCCCAAAGTAAATCTTTACAATATTTCAATTTATTAGTATTTAATACCTAGAATATCACACCCCCCTGTTTATTCTCTGTATATGTCACAAAAAAAATTGAAATTCTTACTTGAAATATCACATCCCCCTAATGTATACTTCTAAAATATTACATCCCCCTAAATAATTCATACAATATTTCAAACAATTGGTATTTGGTACCTAGAATATCGCATCCATCACTTGTAAGTTCTGTATGTACCACAAATAGAAACTGAAGTTCTTACTTAAAATATCACATCCCCCCTATGTATACTTCTAAAATATTACACCCCCCCCCTAGTAATTTATACAATATTTCAAACGATTGCTATTTGGCACTTAGAATATCACATCCATCACTTGTAAGTTTTGTATGTACCACAAAAAGAAACTGAAATTTTTAATTAAAATATCACATCCCCCCTATGTATACTTTTCAAATATTACATTCCCCTAAGTAATTCATACAATATTTCAATTGATTAGTATTTGATACCTAGAATATCATATCCCCCTGTAGATTCTATGTCACAGAAAGAAACTGAAATTCTTACTTAAAATATCACACACACACACACACACACACACACACACACACACACACACACACACACCCTAATGTATACTTCTAAAATATAACATCCCCTAAATAATTCATACAATATTTCAAATGATTGGTATTTGGTACCTAGAATATCACATCCATCACTAGTAAGTTCTGTATGTACCACAAAAAAAACTTAAATTCTAACTTAAAATATCATATCCCGTCTATGTTTACCTTTAAAATATTACATCCCCTTAAGTAATTCATACAATATTTCAAACGATTAGTGTTTAGTATCTAAAATATTACATCCCCTCGGTTTATTTGCTGCATATGTCACAAAAAGAAACTGAAATTCTTACTGAAAATATTACATCCCCTCTAAGTTTACCTTTAAAATATTACATCCCCCTAAGTAATTCATACAATATTTCAAACGATTAATATTTGCTATTTAAAATATCACATCCCCCCTATGTTTATCTCTAAAATATTACAACCCCTAAGTAATTCATACAACATTTCAAATGGTTTTTATTTAGTGTTTAAAATATAAGATTCATCACTTGTAAATTCTGTATGTACCACAAAAAAAAACTAAAATTCTTACTTAAAATAGCACATCCCCCCTAATGTATACTTCTAAAATTATACATCCCCGTAAATAATTCATACAATATTTCAAACAACTGGTATTTGGTACCTAGAATATCGCATCCATCACTTGTAAGTTCTGTATGTACCACAAAAAGAAACTGAAGTTCTTACTTAAAATAGCACATCCCCCCTATGTATACTTCTAAAATATTACACCCCCCTCCTAGTAATTTATACAATATTTCAAACGATTGCTATTTGGCACCTAGATTATCACACCCATCACTTGTAAGTTCTGTATGTACCACAAAAAGAAACTGAAATTCTTACTTAAAATATCACATCCCCCTATGTATACTTTTAAAATATTACATTCCCCTAAGTAATTCATACAATATTTCAATTGATTTGTATTTGATACCTAGAATATCACATCCCCCTGTAGATTCTATGTATATGTCACAAAAAGAAACTGAAATTCTTACTTAAAATATCACATCCCCCCTAAAGTATACTTCTAAAAGATTACATCCCCCTAAATAACTCATACAATAATTCAAACGATTGGTATTTGGTACCTAGAATATCACATCCATCACTAGTAAGTTCTGTATGTACCACAAAAAGAAACTTAAATTCTTTCTTAAAATATCATATCCCATCTATGTTTACCTTTAAAATATTACATCCCCTTAAGTAATTCATACAATATTTCAAACCATTAGTATTTAGTATCTAAAATATTACATCCCCTCGGTTTATTCGCTTTAAATGTCACAAAAAGAAACTGAAATTCTTACTGAAAATATTACATCCCCTCTATGTTTACCTTTAAAATATTACATCCCCCTAAGTAATTCATACAATATTTCAAACAATTAGTAATTGATATCTAGAATATCACATATCCTTGGTTTATTCACTGTATATGTCACAAAAAGAAACTTTAATTCTTACTTAAAATATCACATCCCCCCTATGTTTATCTTTAAAATATTACATCCCCCTAAGTAATTCATACAACATTTCAAACGGTTTTTATTTAGTGTTTAAAATATAAGATTTATCACTTGTAAATTCTGTATGTACCACAAAAAGAAACTGAAATTCTTACTTAAAATATCACTTTTCCTCTATGTTTACCTTTAAAATATTACATCCCCCTAAGTAATTCATACAATATTTTAAACGATTAGTATTTGATATCAAGAATATCACATCCCCTCGGTTTATTCACTGTATATGTCAGAAAAAGAAACTGAAAATCTTACTTTAAAATATAACATCCCCCGTATGTCTACTTCTAAAGTATTACATCCCCCTAAGTAATTTATAAAGTATTTTAAACAATTAGTATTTGGTATATAGAATATAACATCCACCACTTGTTATTTCTGTATATGTGACAAAAAGAAACTGGAATTCTTACTTAAAATATCACATCCCCCCTATGCAGGCTTCTAAAATATTGCAAACGATTGTTATTTTTATTACCTAAAGTATTATATCCCTCATGTGTAATCTTTTTCTATACTATTGTCACACAATACATTACGATTAAAATTTTATAAATAAGAATTTAAAATATATTACCATTTTATGCTAACTTCATTTATAGTATATTAGTAGAAAAACGTTTTTGAATCTCGTTGCGTTTTAATTATATTTTTTATAATTGAATGTTTCGGACGTATTTGATACACTTCTAAGTGCAATGACTTGAAAGCGCAATCTCGTTTTCGTTTTTTCTATGGGGGATGTGATATTTTAGGCGGATGTAATATTTTATTACAAACCTCGATCGGCATTATCTAGATTTTTATTTATTTTTCATACATTTTTTTTAGCTTTCTTTCATATATTTCTTAGGATTATTTATTTTATTATTTATTTATTTTTCTTCAATTTTTTAGCGTATATAGTTTTACTTGTTATTTTTTGTTAGTCATTTGTTTGTTTTTTAGTTATTATTTATTTTTAGTGGTATATAACTTTTTTATACAGTTATATATTGTTTGTTTTTATTTTCATTTTTAGCCATTTATTATATATGTTTAATTCTACCGTTTTTTGTTATTATCTTTTTTAATTTTAAGTTTTTTTGTTGTTGTTGTTTGTTTTGTTTATTTTGCATAGTTTTTTGTTTTGTTTCGTAATGATTGTTGTAAACTTGTTTTGTTTTGATTTTCTCAGTGTTTTTCTGTTTATATTATATTTATTTATTTGGTCATAATATTTGCAATATATTTTGATTATTATATTTTTACAACTATGATTATATTAATATATTTACTAAATCTTTAATTTTTTTTTAGTAGTAGTCGTTTTTATGTCATCGTTAGTTGTTACGTTTTGTCAGTTTATTACTGTTTGTAACAGTAACTTTGCATGTAAAAATGATTGCTGTAGGGAAAATACCGATTATTTAAATTATTATAATTACTTTATTGCTATTGTTATTATTATTATTATTATTATTATTATTATTATTATTGCTATTATTATTATTATTATTATTATTATTATTATTATTATTGCTATTATTATTATTAAGATTAATTGTATATATATAAATTATTTTTTTTAGGTATTTACTTGAGATTAGTATTTCAATACTATTTGTAAATAGCCTTGAAAATTTATTTTCAGAATATATATGATTGATTGATTATACGTAAGTTATTTACTTAAAAAATACAGCTATAACCTTTTTTTAAACAATAACAACAAATTGTTGTTTTGTTGAACAATAGAAATATAATATATTGACATTGTTGTTGTATAAAAAATGGTTATAGTTATATTATTGAAGAAGTAACTTAACGTATGTTAATATATGGAAAATATATTATTATATTTACCTAAAATATAGAAGTACTCCATGAGCTTGTTTTAAGGTGAAAAAATATATATATATTTATATATATATATATATATATATATATATATATATATATATATATATATATATATATATATATATATATATATATATATATATATATATATATATATATATATATATATATATACATTTTATATAATGCATGGTCCCCTTTAAATTAAACCATCTAATACCATATAAGAGAGCTCTCTTATTTGGTATTATATATGTGGAGAGCCATCTCCACATGAACCATCTAATACCATATAAGATAGATCTCTAGAAAGCTCTCCAAATATATTCTACCAAATATTATCATTCTATATAATGGATGGTTCGCTCTAGATAGCGATTCCACGGCTCAGCGAAAAACATTTGACGTTTGACGAAAAACGCAGATTTTTCATAAACTTTACTCTCTTATATCTTTTTGTAGGGTTAAGCAATCACTTTGAGGTTTTTTGTATCAATTAGTGTTACTCAACCTCTTTCCAGCCATATGTAGAAAGTGCTGTGCTTTATATCGCTTCACTTAAATATTATCAATATCCTGAGACCACTTTTGATAAGAAAGCTAACCGCGGGAACGTTTTTTTTAAACGAAGCTTTTTCAGGTAAGGATTCCTAAGTACCAAAACACATCCAATTTGCATGAAATTTTCCATATAGATTAAAAAAAGGATGAGGAGTTTAATGGAATGTGGACCTTTTTGATATTTTCTCTTATTTGTTTAGTTTTCAGTGTTGTAAAAGTTTGTTGTCAGTTTTTTTTTAGAAAATAAAACTTTTTTTCTAAAAGGTCCAGGTGGAAAAGACAAGTATAGCCTTTCCTCTATCCAAATCAAGTATTTATTTATGATTTCTTAATGATTTGATACTTAGAAAATGTATTTATAAATTATGCATATTTGGCTTTTTTTCTATTCGTTGTTTTTTGTTATGATTTTTCCCTTTGTTTTTGTTTATAATATTTTTTTTGGCATTCGCAATTTATTAATGGATTTTTTGATGTTTACTTTTCACTTTCTAGTCGAAAGCTTATTTATACACTTAAGAAGTAGTTAAATAAAAAAAATATTTTTTTGAAAATATGACATAACTGCTTTATATAGCATAAAACTCTTGCTTTTATTCCTTCCATCATTTTTGTTTTTGAAAATAGAATAAAATTTTCATTCTAAGAATAATAGTGAAAGTGAAACTCTTTAGATTTCAAGCTGTTAAAAATATTTTATTTTGTTTTTTAAAGGTATTTTGTTTGGATTCTTCCACAAAATTGCAAGCTGATTTTGTGTCATTAGTTGTTTTCAAAACAGTGCTTTCAAAATTGTTTTTATTTACCGTGCTTTTTGTTGATCTGATTGGGAACGCTTTCTAGCCAAATCAAGTTATTTTTCCAAATTTAAATTTAGTTGCAACAATTGGTTAATCTTACAATCCTTTCTAACATCTCTTTTTTTTTTACTTCTTGAACATTATATTTTGATAAAATCCCTTTATTTTTTCTTTTATATTCATTACATCTTGTCTATTTTGAAATTCAAGGTGCTTAATTTTCTTTTTGTATTTGTTTATTTGATAGGTCAAATCACCAGATAATAAAGGTAGTTGTTGATCGAAATTTATAACTGGGAAATTCTCTTTATTTACTTGAGTTTCAAGAAAACAATCATCAAAATGACTTTTTAAAGGCTTGTCTACAGTAGAACTTTGAGTAACAGAGCTTGAAAAAACATCATTAGCAGTTTTCAAGTTTAAATCAGAAAATAAACTTAAAGAAGCAGAAATATTTTCTGGAACAAATTTACTAGAATTTGTTTCAGAAGATGTTTGGCTAGAAGTAAGGATAGAACAATTAACAGAAGGTTGCAAATCATCAACTTTGTTAATTCAAGCGAGATTATTTTTTATTTTAAGTATCTGTATTTTCAACAAGGCTTGAAGCAACTATTTTTATAGTTACTGGAAGGCCCAATATGAAGTAAAGTAACATTCCAGTAACTTCCTAAAAAACTATTTTTAGGAAGTTACTGGAAGACCCAAGATGAAGATTATAAAGCAAGATAACGGTTAACAGATGACTTAAAAGATTGCAAATTATATGAATCAGGAAAACAAGATGAATGGGTAGTATCACAAAAAACTGATGTTCAAGGAAAAAAACTATACCAATAAGAATTTTTGGAGCACTTAGGAACAACAAAATACTATATTATTATATACAAATACTAACTTAGCAATGATTTGTATATAAGGTTTCCATAAGAGGTCAGTACAAAAAGATAGTTAGAGACGATTTAAAGTAGAAGACACAGTAACAATGTTGCCATTCATGAATATAGGAGTATTAACAAGATTGCAAATACTTTTTTAAAACTTTGCCAGATACACCATATCATCCAGAGCAATAAAATGTGCATCACCGGTTCTATCTAATGTTAATTTCAAACTTTTCTGCAACAACAGTTAACAGGTCCAAAAACAGATGATTGAAATCCATATGTTTCTTATATCATCAACAAATAGAGTGATGTTATTGTTGTGATATTTTGTGTTGATAGACAACTTGGCTTACCTTCTCGCTGGTGTCTATCGTTTAAAATGATTATTAGGTTGTTTTGTTACTCAAACTCTCTACCTCTAATCATTCACTAATAGCCAAGAGATATTTTTTAGAATAACACCATTTTTTGTTTTAATGTTGTTTTCACTTTTTTATCTTAGTTGTTGTCAATAGTTCACATAATCAATCTCAAAGGGTAAGTTTCTTATTCTATATTTATTTAGTTTTAATTGTTAATTTATAATTATTTTTTATTTTTAAAACCAATTAATCTGTGTGTTTTAATAATAATTTTATTACAATTTTAGGTTGATTTCTGCTTTTACACCTGCTAATGCTGTCGTAAGTACTCAAAATTTTAGGAAGTTCTATTGCTGTAAGTTATTTTCATTTTAATTTAAATTTTAACTTTATTAAAGAATCTTCTGTCTGTTAAATAGGTAATTCTGAATGATTTAAATATATTTCAATGCCCATACTAATTTACTAAACGGTTTGTAATTTAAGCAATAGTTTTAAACAGATGAATTAATCGGATTCCACGATCCTTTATGCATATTTGCATGGAGTTTTTATAATATAACCCAAATGTAATAATATAACCCAAATGTAATAATATAACCCAAATGTAATAACAGTTCAAAAATATCAAACATATTTAAGGTCAATATCTTTAATTAGTATGTAAATCTATTTTTCTGTAATTTACTGACCGGTCTGTAATTTATGCAATAGTTTTACTGACAGGTCTGTAAATAATAGTTTTCAAATGATGTATTTTTTGGCTTCCATGATTCCTTTATGCATATTTGCATAGTGCGACCCTAATTTTTTTTCTTAATAACACAATTAAATAAGTAGAAACCTTTCAGTCTGTAAAATAAACAATTCTGGATAATCCCGACAGATTTAATAAAAACTGGATCACTATTTAAAAATTCAAGTGAAATGTAATAACGGTGCAAAAATATCAAAAATTAAAAAATTACTAACTATTTAAAGTTGATATGTTTAAATTGTTTGAACAGCCCATTCTCAGCAATTTACTGACCGAACAGTAATTTATGTGATTATTCACTGAGCAGTTTGTAAATTATGCAATAGTTTTTAAATTATGTATTCTTTGGATTCCATGATTCCTTTATGCATATTCGCATGGTATAATTATAATATGACCCAAATTTTATTCTCAAAAATAAGAAAATAATATAAAACCCTTCAGGCTGTAAAATAGATGATTCTGGACATTTTTTAAAGTAAAATTTTGGTTTTTTATTTTCTTATAGTTCTTTGATCACTATGAAAATTTTTAAGTCAAAAGTAATAACGATTTAAAAGTTATTCAAAAGTTAGTTTGACCGCAAAAATATATAATTTAGTAAAAATCCTTGGTCTGTAAAATAGATGATTCTGGTTAATTCTGACAGATTTAAAAAAAAAATTTTTGAATTTTATTTCCTTATAATTGGTTGGTCACTATGAAAAATTTCAAGTTGAATGTATTATCGGTTCAAAAGTTATTCAAATGTCAATAATACTATCATTTTCGGTGCCATTTCGCCGCAAATTTCCCATACTTAAGCCCTATACCTTTTGTCAAAAAATCACCTGTTATTTGACTACAAAAAGTTTAATAACTTTTGATCCGCTTAACTTCAAAGGTCGAATGACCCCTCATTTTTTAAGTCAAACCAAGCTCTATATAATGGCATCAATTATATATGAATATTTAAATTATAAAAAAATCGTGTGGACATGCTACTCTAGAGTCTAGAGCGAACCATCCATTATATAGAATGATAATATGACTATATAGATATAGAATGATAATATAGATACTATATAGATATGAGAGCTCTTATAACCTGGCTAAAAAGGGAGAATGACCATAGTAATACTATGGTCGCTCTCCCTGTTTTAGTTTTTATAAAGTATAGTATTATTATGTTCCATATGTATACAATTAAAGTATTTATATAATTTAGTATATATTAGGTACGTGAGTATCGCGTTTTACGGAACCAAATTTTGTGCTAAAATTCTGTTCCACATTTTTCGTAGTCTCTTAAAAGTTAGCGTGCTTGAGGAAGGCATTGTGGAATAACTGTTATCTTTATTTAATAAGGAATATCTTTATGAATAAGTTTTTCAATATAAATTTATCAAACTGTTTTTAAATTATCTGGCCACTATTCAAACCTTTATGTATAACTTAAATATTTCTTTCGCTGTTTTAGATGCCCAAATTTGTAGTGTAGCCGACAACATCAGTTAGTTACTTTCTGTATTCAATAGTTTAGTAGTTATTATATAGATGCTATTTTTATATTACTTTGTATATTTTTATATTATTATATTTAATTTTTTTTTAGATGAAGTTGCTTTAGAGAAGATCAGTCATTTATATCTCTCTTATATAATCTAATATTTTAGTATTTAGTCATTTACTATTAGCTTTCTAATACAGTTCTTTAATATACTTATGTAGATTGTCTAACAATATTATTTCTTGTTAGTTGTATATTTGTATACTTAATACTTACATTTTATTAAGTCACTCTTTTTTCTGTAGACAATTTAGAACAAACAATCAGTAAGTTGAGTTTGAATTGTTTTAGTTACTATATCATTTAAAGTATTTGTATGCTGTGTTAGTATTTATTGTTGAATAAATGTTTTTATTTAAAATTGGCGTTTAGGTGAGTACGGCAAGCAGATGTGTAAGTTTTGTTGATTTCTATATTTTTCAACATATAAGGTATTGATACATAATAACAATTATAAACTTCTAATAAATTTACCCATTGTTAGACATTCAAATCACTCCGGCTTCTGTTGCTAAAGTCATATCTCAAACTAATCTTAAACTCGTCTACAGCTTGTGGTCCAGACAACATTCCTGTCACAGTCTTGCAGAATTGTTCTCCAGAACTTTCTTCAATTCTCTCTAAACTATTTAACAAGTGTTTGACTGAGTCTTGTTTTCCTGCTTGTTGGAAAATAGCATCTGTGGTTCCAATATTCAAAAACTCTGGAGAAAATTCTGACCCCTCCAATTATCGTCCGATCAGTCTTCTTTCTGTTATTAGCAAGGTCTTTGAGTCTTTGATCAACAAATTCCTCACATCTCATCTTGAGTCAAATAAACTGCTGTCAGACAATCAATACGGTTTTCGATCCTCTCGCTCTACAGCCGACTTGCTAACTGCTGTAACTGAAAGATTTTATCGTGCATTAGATGGAGGCGGTGAGGCTAGGGCTATTGCTCTCGACATATCTAAAGCTTTCGACAAAGTTTGGCATGCTGGCCTTCTCCATAAGCTTGCTTCATATGGTGTTTCTGGGAAAGTTTTTGAGATTATCAAATCATTTCTTTCTGACCGGTTTATTAATGTCATCCTTGAAGGCCAACACTCTTCTTTATTTCCAGTAACTTCTGGGGTTCCCCAAGGTTCCATCCTGGGCCCTGTTTTGTTTCTTATCTACATAAACGATCTTCCTGACAACCTTTCATCTAAAGTAGCTCTTTTTGCTGATGACTCAACTTTATACTCCTGTCTTGACAAAAAGTCTTCTCTTTTCGATCGCCTAGAACAAGCAGGGCCCAGGATGGAATATATATATATATATATATATATATATATATATATATATATATATATATATATATATATATATATATATATATATATATATATATATATATATATATATATATATATATGGAGACTTATATTATACCATTAATTTATATTTAGTGTCACTGTCATCTAAACCGTCTGGTAAGATTTATATATTCTTACTTTTCAATATGATTTTAATTGAAAAATAATTGTGAGGATACGTTGTGCATTGTATTTTTATTTTTTAAGTATCATTTTCCATTACTGTTGGTAAGGTTTATATGTTTTTTTCTATACATTATGGTTTTAATTACAAAATAATAAATAGTAAAGGTTATTTTGTTTCTTGTATTTTTAATTTTTAATATCATCTTCATCTGTTACTGTTGGTAAGGTTTATATATATATATATATATATATATATATATATATATATATATATATATATATATATATATACATACTGTTAATACTGGTAAGGTTTACATATCTTTACTTTTTATTAAATAAAAAAATATAAGACGATGCTGTATTTTATGTTTATTTTTTAGTGCCATCATCATGTGAACAAATTGGTAAGCTGAACTTTTCAATAGGATTGTAATTGCAAAATTTACAAGAATTTGATTTTAGTTTATTATGCCTATTTCTTTAAATACAAATATTTAATTTCTTTTTTTGTCATCTGTTCCAGTTGGTAATGATGTATATTTTCTCTTTTTGAAACTTGGTTTAAGTATTTTTTTATTATTATGCTTTTTTTCTTTATCTGTTGCAACTTTTAAGGTTACATACATCATCTTTGCTACATGAGTTTATATAAATATTTGCAATTTTTGTTTTTGTATTATGCTTTCATTTTTAGTGCCACCTCCGCCTACTCCAACAACTTTGCATTATTATTTATATAAAAAACATTTTATATTTTGTATATATATATATATATATATATATATATATATATATATATATATATATATATATATATATATATATATATATATATATATATATATATATATATATATATATATATGACTTCTTTTTCATATATATAAGTCATATATATAGAAGTCATATATAGAAGTCATATATGTATGTATATATGTATATATATATATATATATATATATATATATATATATATATATATATATATATATATATATATATATATATATATATATATATATATATATATATATGACTTCTTTGTTTAAATTTTTTTTAGTACCCTCATCATCTGCTTTAACTGGTAAAGTTTGTATATTTAAAGATAGCGAAATAATTAAAAACTATAATATTATTTTTATTTTTACCCAGTGTTTTGATTTATCTCTTAAATCATCTATGTTTATAATCATTTTGTTAAATCACTTTTATTTTCATTTGCATAATCTAATTTAAATATTACTTGTTTTATTATTTAAATATTGTCATTATAGAACGAACTTACGAAGATTATGTTCAGTATAGATCTCGCTACTTAGGACCGCTAACCAACGCATCATTTTTGCGTTGGTTGCTGCATAATGGGGAGGACAGCCCATCTTTTAAATGGTCTTGTCCTCCATACCTGGGTGGTGGGACCCATCACCAAAAACGTGGAAGAAGAGGTGGAAGAGGCAGAAGAGGTCCGGGTGGGATAGCAAATTTTTACGTTCAATGCTAGGTCCACTCGGATTATTTTTGTTGTTTTTTATAAAATTAAATATTTACATGAAATTTGTTTTTATTTCAATGCCAATTTATAAATGGAATTTAAGGATTAAGTTCTTAACTTTAACTTTGGTGTTTAACACTATTAATTTCTGGGATGAAGTTATTGTGTTTCTTCATACTTAATAGAAAAAACATGCTTTTTTTTTGTTCTATCCTTATATAATATTTTTTTAAGTTTATCATTTATCTATGCTCCTGTCAAATGTCTTAGCAAGATATTCTAATTTTTTTTAACCAACAAGTTTATGTTTGATTTAGATAAACAGTATTAGATAAAGCAGCATTAGATAAACAGTATTAGATAAAGCAGTATTTCTGACAATATTAGTAATATAAATAGCAAGTTAAAAAATAATAAGTTAAAAAAATTATTAAATAAAAAGTATTTTTTTCTGTTATTTACTTATTGTTTCTATATTAATTTTAAAGTTTTTGATACTTTAGTGAGTTAATAATAACGTAATACCAATACGCTAACTTAAAGTATCAATAACTATTAAAATTAATATAGAAACAATAAGTAAATATAGCAAAAAAAAAAAAAAAAAAAATGTATAGCAACAAAAAGTAAATGTAATATTAAAGTTGTTATACCATTTATTTTTAGTAATTTAATTTGTTAATGATTATATTGGTTTGCAAAGCGTCATTTCAACCTTTCTGCTGCTGTAAAAGGTATGCATGTTATTTTATTAAGTAAATAGAAAAAGGATTGGTTTTTTTGAATTAAGTTATACATTTGAATACTTACTGTAAAATATTTTCTGTACTTGTTGAATTTAAGATGAAAATGCTATTGTAATTATTATAGGAGTATTTGTTTTTTTTTTGTCTTTCCATTAATAAAGGTGTTATGGCCCCGAAAAAGAAATTATTGATATTTCAAGGAGCAATCAACACTTTTTTAAATGCTAACTATAAGTTGTGTAATGATACAAGCAGTGTAGAAATGGACATGTACTTTTTGTTTTCATTAACAGCGGTGAGTTATATAAGAAAACTGTAGAAGAAGTCAATGTGGTTATGACTCTTTGTTTATTATGACTCTTTGTGGTGGGGTAGGGAGAAGCCAAACAAGACATTCAATAATTGTCAATAATTGACTTTGATAAGTCCTGCTTCTCAGTAGCATTTGGCCTATCTTTTCTGAAATATAGAAATATAAAAATTATTTTAACTAATTAAAATCCTATCAAATTTTTTATTTTATTTATACTTACTGAGCACAATTGTTCATCAGGTAACGCCCACAAACTTTTGTAAGAAATAACATTTCTGCTTTTTCAATCTGCTCTCCTGACTTTAACTTTTGTGTCAATCGTTGACCACAAATAGGTCCATGCTGCTGCCTCTGCTCTGATATAATATTATCAACTCGCAGATTCTGATAAAACTAATGGAAATATGCAACTAACATAATTTCATATTATTTTATTTTAGCATTAACATGCTATACAAAATATACACTTCAACATTATTACTTTTATTATATTATGATTATTTTTTATTATGACTCTTTTTTATTATATCTATTTTATTTACTCCATGTATGCCATTTCAGCAATCATTTGTTAATTGTTTGAAAAAAAAATAACTTCTTTGTCTGAGGTGGCCTAATACTTAGGTAGGTGAATACCAGTTGTACAGTTGTTAAAAAACACTTTTTTTAAACAACTGTAAAACTTTGTAGAAAACCTTTCTCTACATTTTGTAAAAACCTTTTTTTTATAAAATTTTTATATTTTCTATAAAGTAAACATTTTAGATTAAACTTAAAAAATTATGTTGTACAAAATGCTAAATAACAAAATAATTAGAAAAAACATTGCTATTGATCTATATAAAACACTAAAGTTTACACTATTTACAAAAGAAATTACTAATTAAAAAACATGATAGGGCAATCGAACAAAGTTCAGTAGTCGCAAGCAAACTATGACAATAAAGTGGATGAAAATCAACAAAATTAGAAAGCTTGAAAATCTGATACTCTGGTTGGCAAATAAACATTAGTTCATAAGAATGAAGGTGATAAGTAAAATTGTTTGTTTTCACAATTTCTAAAACAAAATGCCACTTCTATCCTTTGTACACATCAACTTGATTGTTATTTGCACTTGAAATGAAGCATACAACTTTTCCAAAGTTTGGAAAGCCAGTCTCCATATCTATATTAATTGCAATAAAATTCTTTACATGACTTAAAACACTGTATATTTTGCATAGCGTTATAAAAAGGAAGAGAATAAGTAGACTCAATACTATATTTTACCACTGTGACAATTTTGCGAATATGTTTGTTTGAGAGTTGTGACTCCAAAGCCTGTTGCTGATGTCTATGTGCTAGACCTTTGACAAATATTGGTAAAGTTGCATACAATATGGGCACACCTTTTAAAAAATGAATTTTTCAGTTCGTATGGCATACAACTCATGCCAATAAGTGGACCAGACTTAGTTATAATTGGGCAAATGTACAAATATTGCTGCATTATAACCTGCTAAACATAGATAAATGGTCACTAATAACATGTTTCATATAAACTACCATTATAAAATACCATGGTACAAAAATCAAATCAATTAAATGAGACAAGTGAAGCAGAAATTTCCAGTTTTTATTCTTTAGAGGTATAATTTTTCCTACAGCCATTGGTAAATACTTGAGCAGATCCCACCATTGTACTGCTTTCATAGAGGGTGTATAAACTACCATTATATGCCCTGGTACTACCAGTACATGCCCTGGTTCTTGTATTTTGAAAATTTCTGCAGGTTTATGAGTATTTCAATAGTTATTTTTCCCCATAATAAAGAAATAGCTTTATTTATATCTGATAGAATTAGGCACTTATCTAATATACACAAACCATGAAGAATACACCCTAACTCTACAAGAACAACTCCTTCCAAGAGAGTGTGCATAATATCTAAACACCAATTATCTGTCACATGATAACCTTTTATTTTATTGAGTGGGCATTCAGTCTTTACACCTCTGTAGTGATTTTTCAATTGATTAGAATTGTTCTTATTGCTTGTCCTACTTGCTACTAAATTAATCAGATCTGTTTTGTAGCTATGCACAGTACGCTTCTGAAACAGATCATCTTCAAATTTAATTTGAATGTCTTCTTTTGTTGCATAGCAAATTGCATAAAAATGACTGCCAGAAAAAAACTCAACAAATCCAAGCAAGCCATTGAGAGCCAAGTTATCACAAGTAACTTGACAAAGACTTGCATAAATTGTACAAGTACCTAAAACTGGAAATACTCCTTGTAATCCAATAGTGCTTAACTCCTGTATCTCATTAACAAATTTGCTTAAAATTGGCCCATGACCATAAACTGCAATATCATGAGTGTAACCAATGGCTAACAAGTGCACATTGTCAAAACAAGAGTTAAATGCGTGTGGAAGATTTTTTATAGTGT